AATTCCGTAGCAAATTTCGTAACAACTTTTTTGCAGTCAATTCCATAACAATCGTTTCATACCATTTTTTCTATAAAATTCGGTTATTTAATTTGACTATTATATCAATGTACAAAAAATATACAATTAATATAAAACAAAAAATAACAAAGTATTTCTATAGAAACTAAAAGAAATATCCAATACATCAAAAGATACATATCTCAAAATCAAAAGTCGCTACAAATTTAACATAAAACGTTATTCGATACATAATATTCTATCATTGATTAATAAAAGTTTTGACCTGTTCACTCAATGTCTAATGACATTCATTGCTTGTGCAAGTTGTTGTTCAAACTTTGTTTGAACATCCACATTTTTTATGTATCCCAAACACGAACCATTCCATCCTCTGATCCAACAACCAATTGAAATCCATCCAATGCAAAACCCAAAGAGCATATCGCCTTACTATTAAAAATACAATAAAAAAACATTGGAATTAGATTATTAATTTTGAAAATATTATATTGTAAAAAAGTTTGGGTTTCGCATACCTTTGATCAGATAATGTGCCAATGATATCCAAACCATAGTTGTTGTTATTGTTGGATGTGGTTTGAGCATTGAGTTCTGCAATGTATATTTTCCCATCTCTCCCACCAACATAAAAACATGTTCTCCTGGATCTAATGCAACTACATCAATTATTGAAGGGAACACAATATTTCTCAATTTTATGTTTTTATCAATAGAAATCGCCTTGACGATCATGGAAAGTAACTTTAAAATCTCCAGATAACGCACAGTCCAATGAGGGTATATTAGTCAATCCGGGCTCTCCGGGTAGCGCAAAGACCATTATACCCTTTCTTAGAGTAGAAAACCAAAAATCTTTAGGCTGGTTCAAAAACAGTCCAATGAGGGTATATTAGTCAAAAAGACTATATATGTTTTATTTTAAGAAACATACCGATAGATCCTTGGTTCTTGGATGCTTCTTGGTGGAAAAAAGAACACCTGCAACCAAAAAAGAGAAATGTATCGTATCATGGAATGGAATCACAAACAAACGGAATGGAATTGATCATTACATGCCATTATCAATTATCATGTTAGTAGTTACCATTATGATCTGAGATAGTAATGGAGGGCCTAATCCAATATGGACACCTATGAAGGTGAAATCCTCTAAGCATACACCTACACAATAATAACAAAACTCAATTAAACTATTTTTTTTTTAAAAGAAAAAAGAAATTAAAGATATATATAATATTTGATGTGTACTTACGCCCCGGCTGATCTTCTCCATTAAAGTATGTCATAACACGTTCAAAGTATTTGACATACACGTTCAAAATATTTGACATACCTTTATGTTAAAAAAGACGAAAACGGACATATTAGATATATGTTTTTTAAAAAAAAATTAAAAAAAGAAAAAAGATTTGACTTACTATTTGACTTGGAAGAACAAGTCCTTTTCCATCAACACATCTTTTTTGGTTGTAATATGATATAGACTCCTCAGCTGTGGGGAAAAACTACAGGGAGAAGTAATAACAGTTGATATACATTTTGTATGAGGGGTAGTTTGGTAAATTGAAGAATTGGTACCTTGAGATATAAAAGAAGACTTGAAATCATTAAGCCTGTTCTTGCCATTCCAGCCTTACAATGGACAACCTCAACACTTTTAAAAAAACTCTTTTAACCATGCATATGCACTATGGCAAAATGATATTATCAGTTGAATTGGAGGGCAATTATGGTCATCAAATGGAAAACTAGCAACCTGCAAATATATATATATATATATATATATATATATATATATATATATATATATATATATATATATATTAAATGTGACTAATTTAAGAAAATGATGAAATGATTTAATTAAAGAGAACATAAAAATACAAGCAGGTTGACTTTGTTGACTAACCTTCCCTTCAAATAGTGATGCATCATATAGCCTCTCAGAGCAAAGATTGTACACCTTGTACTTATCCTAACATCTACAAATTATAAAAAAGAGAGCTAAATAAAATTGGAAACTAAATGTAAAAACAGAAAGTTCTTACCTTGTGATATGTTTCAAAGAACCTAATGACTTCCTCCATGTTGTTACGATAAAATCCCTACACAAAATTTCAAATATTATCAACAAAAATATTTCATTACATGAATACTTGTGCTAATGATAGTTAAGTTGATGATAAAACTTAAAAGTTAAAAGTACTCTATGAACTTACCTCAACATATCCAAAGAAGCCTGAGCTAATATCACCAGCAGGAAATCCCATAGCAATTAAATTGTCAGTAATGTAAGTCATATCCAAATCAAACCCCCCTTCCTGTAACCAATATAAAAGATCAGTTTCTTACAATAAAGTGTACACAGTAAATCAAAATAATAGAGTTATCAATATAATTTGAAGAGTGATTTAGATAAAAGGAGAGAAATCGCTAAAAGAGAATTGATTGTTTCAGCTATTGACAACTCACCTCCCACAAGTAAATATGACCAGAAACTCCTCCTCCTACTATGTAAGTGCCATCACTATTGCAAGCAAGAGGATTAATTGCTCCAACTTGAAAACACTAACTTCTACCTGAGGCGCAACAACGAAAACCAGAACATAAGTGAAAATTTTGATACTTTTCAATGAAAAAGTATCAGAACATAAGTGAATGTTGGGGGATTGAACTACTATCAGAATCTAGACAACAGGAAGTAATTAAGAATTAAGCTATCATATTTCCCTTTCAATTCCCCTGTATGTTGAAAACCTAATTGAACAATGTGTTCGAACATTTAGAGAAATGTGATGCCATAATTACCTTGTTCCACGACCAGAAGAGAACGGAGCCAGAGGATGATGAAGAATCACGGAGCTGGGAGGAAGCAAGGAAGCGTCCAACGACGGATACAAGGCCGTGAGGAGGAGAGGCGCATGAGCGGTAGCGGAGATGTTCTGCACCGGAACGAAGGACCCAGCAACCGATTCCGGCTTCGATGGATGAAGAAGCGATGGCTACTTCGTCTTCCATGTATAGAGAATTTAAGAGCTTGATGGAGATTTAGTTTAGAGACGGCCACAAATGCGGAGGAGATGGAAGTTGAGAGAGGGAGAGATGCGATCGGCCTCCGACGATGGGTTTGAACGTGATACCTCTAATTTGGGGTTAGGAGGAAGTAGATTTGTGTGAATTTACTACTTTACCCTTAATAAAACATTGAAACGGCACAAGTTCATCAAAGGATTTTTTTTTTTTTTTTTTTTTTTTTTTTTTTTTTTTTTTACTAAAGAACCAAAATAAAAGAAATTAATTTCTTTTTTAGAAAAAGTTGGTACAAGACTAAGGGTAAATAAATTTTGATTTAGGGGTAATAATTTTCAAAGCCTAACAAATATGGGGATAATATTATTATATGAAAATTAGCAAATGTACGTTATCAAAATCTAAAATTTATATAATATTTATAATGTAGAAATTATGTTATAATTAAATTTTCAAAACAAATAAAAATAATATTTTATTTTTGTTGTTGAGTTTTCAAAGATAATTGTGTATTTTTAATATATTTTTTTCAATAATTTTATATATTTTGCTACGGAAACATATTTCGTAACTACTTGACTACGGAATTTTCCGTAGCCAAATACCTATGGATTTTGATTTCGTAACCATTTTGCAAATTCACTTTTTTGTAACAAATTCCATAATAGATTAGCTACAAAATTTATTTTATATAGCAAAATTTCCTAACACAAATAGCTACGGATCCCAATTCCATAGCTAACTAGCTACGTATTTTTATTTCGTAGCCAATTATGTAGCTAACTAGTTACATACATGGATTTTGTAACAAGTTTCAAAGAGAACTAGCTACAACCAAAAAAATTGTAGCATTATTTGTAGTAAACTAGCTATGGATTTTAATTCCATAGCAACTATTCAAGATTTAGTTACGGAATACAATTTCGTAGCCATTTTCGTAGCAAATTAGTTACAACCAACCATTTTGTAAAATATTCCATAGTAAAATAACTATAAATTTAGATTCCGTAACAATTTTATATAGCTATTTAAGATTTAGCTACATAATGCAATTCCGTAACCATTTATGTAGCAAAATAGCTACGACAAGTCGTTTCGTAGCGTATTCCGTAGTAAAATAGCAACGGATGTTGATTCCATAGTAACTTTCCGTAGCTATTTATGATTTTTCTTGTAGTGATTATGCATGTTGTGTGGGGTCCAATATATATGTTGGACGGGACCCGTTATATATGTTGGGTGGGGTTCGTATTAGTATGTGGTATCTTGGGGAACTTACTAAGCTTTATGCTTACGATTTTAAGTTTAAATGTTGCAGGTCATTTTGGAAGTTTGGGAAGATCACAGCGTGATTACATTGCATCTGCTACTACGTTTTTAGATGTTCTGCATTATAATATTAGTACTTTGATTTATGTTTTCGAAGCAAATGAATATTTACTTTTATGAATGAATGGCTAGGTTTCCTTTGATTTTAGAATGAAAATTTTGGTTTGAAATTTGGGATGTTATAAGTTGGTATCAGAGCCTTAGTTTGAGGGATTCAGGCTTACTCTATAGTGTGTTTGAACTCAAATTGAGGACTAAAAGATTTCTTTTTACAAAAACATTTTTGGAAAGTTTTTACAAAAAGAAAAGGATGTGATGCATACAACTAGTTGAAGCTCAAGAAAGTGATTCTCAAAATACTCATACATGTTTATATGTTGTATGTGTTATAGTATGATATACATGCTAGAAGTTAGAATAAGGTTCTGCTTAGGGTTACAGGCTAGAATGCATGCTTAGGAGAGATGCCTGCTTAGGAAAGACGCCTTTTGTGACTGATGCGTGAATTGTTAGAGATGCATGATAGTGTGTATGCTAAGGATATTCATGAATTGTGTGTTAGAATTGCCTGATCTTTGTGATGCCTTGGTGACTGTGGGATTTGCTGCTTGAATGATGCTTGCTTTGTGCTATGTGAAATCTATATTAATATTAATTAACTATTAAGCGAATGATAGTTTATTTTATTTCCTTCTTTTTTTTATTCTTTATTTTTTATTTTTATCCTTTTTATTGGTATTGCATTGTATATTATTTATTTTCTTTATCATGGATCGTGTTGGGTACTTTCTATTTTGCATGAGATATTTGTAGGGTTTTGGAGCTCGTTGTGGTTGTATATTAGCTTGGAGACGGGCTTGTGGGATTTCGAGGTATTATTGGGCTTTCTGGATCCATCAAAGAGGAATTGGGCTTAAAATGTTGAAGACTTGGATGATTTAGGCTTATGAAGATGGGTCTTGGATTCTTATATTGTGCTTGGACTATCTATATGTTAAAACTTGAAGATGATTAGCCAAATTTGAATCATGTGAATTGTGGAGGGGATCATGGGAATCTTGGAAATGGGGTAGTGTAGTGGAGAAAAAGAGCCAATATCATTCCAACATCATTTGTGAGGGTGGAGTCTCAGTCATGCAAATCTGCGAGGGTACCCGTACAACTGCACACTTTTGGGCATTTTGGTCATTTTGCTCACCATTTACTTTGGGGGTTTGGTCTAGCAGGTTATACTTCGATTTTCCACCATTAGAGACCATTGGAGGTGATTTTTGGGAACTTGATACACATTCTTCTCATCTTTCTACCAGTTGTTAGTTTCTTGATGCAAAAACCCTTTTGTGATTGTTATTTTGTTGCCATGAGTGGCTAGTTTCTTCGTTTTGGTTAACTTTGGCTAAAACCCTTGGATGTTTGTGGTTTTTGAAGGATTCATGCTTAATTTTCATTTATCTTAAGTTTATGATTCTATTTCATATTTCTTATGCTTGTTTAATACTTTGATCATGAGCTTAGTATTTGAATGAGCAATTGCTGATTTATCTCTTTGGTTTAGCATTGAATCATTGAATTACTTATAACAAGGGCTTTATGATGGTAGAAATCATCTCTAGCTTATGAATCATGACTTCTTTATGGATGTGTAAACATTGACATCCTCTAGGAATTGGGGATCCTTCATTTTTAAGGCTAATCAACTTTCTTGGGTTGAATTTCTTCAATTGAATCTTTGATTTTAATTAAAAAGGTGTGTTGTGGGCTTTCCGAACCTTCGTACTACCTATGAGGAATCTTGGCATATCATGATTCATGATTTCCATAACCAATTTGGGATCAATGATAAGCTTCATATTAAATCCTATTGATAATCACACAAATGTTTATTGTGTTGAATTGCCTTCGTTGACCAATTCTATCCAATATTTGAGCATCTCACCATCTTGCTTAATTGCAAGCTTTTTAGTTATTCAAGTTTTTTAGTTTTCAAGCAATCACAAAACCCCCTTTTAGTTTAATTGTAGTTAGTTAGTTTTATTACACTAGTTCTATTGGATTGCACTGGTCATTGAATACAACCATTTCCCTGAGGATCAATACCCATTTTTACCATTATATTACGTTTTATTTGCAAACAAATGGTATGATTTTCTTGGTGGACTTTACATCCCACTAAGTTTTGGCGCCGTTGCTAGGGATATTGGTTATTGTTATTTGATTGTTTATGCCTATATCTACAAGAACCGGTGAACTACTCTACAATCTGGAGATTGAAAAATAAGCAAAAAGGTTGAAAAAGTTGGCCAAACACGCAAAGCAACAACTCGTTCAAGCTTCTTCCTCTTCTCCACTAATCAACATAGAAGATAACGTTCATACTTCAAGTGATGCCGACATCGAACTGAGTTATCTAATTGTTGGTCATTCCTTTGTAGACATTCCATTTGAAAACTACATAGCCATGAATCACACTCTACCTTACAATCCCGACCCAAACCCCAACAATAAAGATGCCAATACCCTACCCCAACAACTAAGACAACAATAACACAAAGACAACAATAACACCAATAGTTTTCACTGCAGCAAGAGCTCGGACCTGAGCTTGCTCTCGGTATATACAATTAGCTTGTTGCCTTGCATTGTCAGGACAACCAGAATAGAGCATTCATTCGATGCATAAAGGAGTAGCATGTTTGCGCCAATAACTAAATGGAGGATCTTTGGAATTATTTTCATCCCGAAGGCGGTTACCGTCCTCGCGGGCCTCCACCACCTTGATCCCGGTATAATCCTTCCCCACTCTCATCCTAAGCATTGAGGACAATGCTTAATTTTAAGCTTGGGGTGAGGTATTATTATCTTTTATTTTTGATTGCATTTAGGTTGTATATAGTTGCATTTAGAGTAATTAATTTAGGGCATTTATATATAAAAAAAGTTCATAAAAAATCAAAAATATCGCAAATTTTATTTCTTTGTTTTCTAGTTTGCATACCTTTTAGTTGCAATTTAGCTTAAGTTTCATGAATTTTTGTTCTCACTTGTCTTCTTATCCCTACAGGTACTATAGCACCGAGTCATAAGTATTGAATCATAAATTGGTCCCGAGTCTTGATATGTAATTCATTGTATTGAATAAATGGGACACGCTTTGAGCCTTACATACCACTTTGAGACCGCTTGTGTGGGGGTCAGATGCAGGTAGCTTGATTGGGTCTAGGTGCGAAGGGATGTGGTTGGTCAGACCAATGTGTACGAGAAAAGATTAGTCCAGTAAGGTATTTTGAAGACATTAAAGACTCGTATCTTGGTTTTGGGGGAATACCCCTTAATACTCCCGAGTCTCGTCCGAGCCTTACTTAGTTAGATTCTGACCACCTTTTTAAGATAGCTCATCATTTTTCTAAGGGTCTAGAGTAGATAGTTAGATGGATTTTGTTTATCACACCTTACATTAAGGTGCTTGATGAACTTTGAAGCGGGTCCCCTAATTCATATTTTTGGGACCATGTTTTCTTGGTAACACCCATTTTTGAGTCATTCCCCACCATTTTTAGCAGATCTTGACACATTATCAATGATAATTCAATGTTCATGTTAGCCTCTTCCATTACTCCATTTTCACACTATTGGAGTCCTATGGTATATGGTGAAATTCCTTAGACCTTCCAAGAAGAAAACACAGAAAAATGAAGAAATTGGAAAAGCAAAGACAATAAGAGACAATGAAG